AGAGCGAGAGGAAGAGACACAGAGAGAGATTCCATCCACTAGTTCACTCCCCACTGACTGCAACCATCAGGTCTGAGGCCAGGCCAAAACAAGGAGCCAGTAACTTCATCCTGGTCTCCCCTGTGGGTGACAGGAGCCCAATCACTTGGACCATCTTCTGCTGCCTTCCCCAGCTTCATTAGCAGGAAACTGGATTGGAAGCAGAGTAGCTGGGACTCCAGCTGGCACTCTGATATGGGTTGCTGGCATTGCAAGCAGCTTACTCCATGACCATTGGCCCCTGCCCCTATTTTTATAAATAAAGTTTTATTGGATCACAGTCATGCCAGTGACTGTTTTCTGCTAAAAATTAGAAAAACTGAGTAGTTGAAACAGAGACTGCACTGTTGCAAAGCCTAAGAGATATGCATGTGAAGCATGACAGAAAATGTTCGCCAGCTTATTTGAGGTGATGGAATTTTTGATGATTTTAATTTTTGAAAATCTTTGTTTGCTTTTATTGTCTGAATTTTCTAAGCTGAGCATAAATGTATAAAAAATATAACTTATTAAACCATTGAAAATCTAGTTAGAAAAACATTGGTAAAATTAAGCTCAAATAAATCTTATAAATCAAATGATAAAATTTTTATTATAGGTCCTAATGTTCTAACTCAAGAAATAAAACCTATATTGTGGGGCCAGCATTGCGGCAAAGCTGGTGAAGCTGCCGACTGCCACACACCAGTTCTGATCCAGTCCCCAGCTAATGGCCTGGGAAGGCAGCAGAAGGTGGCCTGAGTACTTAGGCTCTTAGCTCACATGAGAGACCTGGATGAAGCTCCTGACTTCAGCCTAGCCCAACTCTGGCCATGTGGCCATTTGGGTAGTTAACCAGTAGTTGGAAGATTCTCTCTCTCTCTCTGTCTCTCTCTCTCTGTAACTGACATTCAAAGAAATTTCATTAAAAAAGGAAAACAGCCTACATTGTAGGTAAAATATTCTTTTGATTTTTTAAATTTAGATCTATATATTCATATGACATGTCCATTTAACAACAGGATTAGTTTCTTACAACTGCTTTTAGAACTCTCCTGGTGCGTTCTTTTTATCTTCTGTTAGTACTTTAGTCCTCTCAGTTTGTGTTTGATGAATGGAGTGCATTATTGATTCAAGTAAAAGTTTTGGAGTAAAGAAATATGGATGACAAGCATTGATACATCCCATGGTTGATCAACTGAATATGAAAACAGTCCCAATAAGAAGAATTTTTCAATATTTTGAGCTATGGAAAATAAGCAAATCAATATAGAATCTCCCAAGGCAGCTACTTTAAAGAAGTAAATTCACTTGGTTGCATAAATTGTGGATATTTGTTACAAAGGACAATTCTGATGTAGCTCAGAAAATTTTGCTCCGAAATCCTGTAGGGTGAACCCTTAAAAAAGGTTTTAAGGTAAAACCTTTAAAAAGGTGTTTGAATAATCAGGAAATAATTAAGATGATCAGAAGACCTGCTAATTAACATTAGGTGAGAGAATACTTGAAGATGGAATGTGTATTAAATAGAAGTTCCTGATGACAGGCATCTTTATTAAAAGAAACAAAAGTAAACATTCATTAATTAAACTTCCAAATACAAAATAGAGAGGCTTTTAAAATGCCAGTAAAGAAAAAGAAACAGTACACTGGTTTTCATTTAAACTATCAAGCAATTGAGTTGAGAAATAATAAAACTAGACTTTGATGTTTCTAAGTTTGCACATACAGAAGAAATGCCACAATTTGAGTATATAAACATACTAGCGACATTCCTGGTTTTAGGATTTGTTCAGTTGACCAGCTGGTATCGATACAATAACAGAATTCCCTAAATGTGGTTTTACACATTTCCAAGGACATTTTCCCCTAATATTTTCTAAGATTAAGACTCGGGCCTATATGCCGGGGTGGGGGAGGGTAGATTAAAATATAATATAATATAAATATTCAATCATGCATATATTAAGCACATCACATCTTTCAATATACTTTAAAAGGGAAATGTCTACCCTTGGTGTGTATTTGCATCATTTTTGAGACCAGCTCTGCCTTCTGGCCCAATGGACAGCTACACTTGTTGCCAGCTCTGTGCTCAGACATCCAGTGTTCACCAGGAACACTCGTGGGTTTCTGACACCTGAGCATTTCGTGCTTCTGCTTCTCACTGTTCACTTCCCACTCCCTTTCACCCCTATTCCATGCTTATCTAAATCTGACCTTCAAAACCTTCAAAATACCGCTCCATAATGAAAAATGTCTGTCTCCTCCCAAGCAGAGGTAATCATTTTCTGCTCCATGCTCTCCTGCCTCTTGCCAGTTTCTTCCATAAATTAGAGGTCTCTGAATAGCTCTCTCATTTCCTCTACCAAACCATAACTTTCTTAAAATCTGTACCTCCTTTATTTAGTATCCTCTTGTGGACCCAAAACATGATCAGCAATATTAACGTATTTTAATATTCATTTATTAATGGTAAGTTACCTCATTTGAAAAAGGAGTAAAGGGGAAATCTGTTCAACTTCTCTGAAAGAAATAGATATATATATATGTAATTTAATATATCTTCTCAGTATAACGTATCAGATGATTGTTGAACACTTTAGATATTTTCATTTGAGGCAAATATGCTGTAAGGCAAAACTGCAAGTATAATACAAAATAGCAGCTAATTCATATCTGGGGCGATGATGTGTGCTTTTATAGTGATGAGATGGAAAGCCCCTCCTATATGCAGGAAGATTAGTGCATGGCAGTGATCAATGAGAGAAATCATCACTCTCATTGAAGCCACCTGCTAATCTGTGGGACGTGATCTGATTTTGATGAGCTTCAGTTTCCACATCTTAAAGATGGGAGTAGCCAGTGTTAGCCTTGACTGTTCCACAAGTGTGTTGTGAAAGATAAGAAGATGTAAGTGAAAGCGCTTTTGTAAGCTATAAAGTTCTATAGAAATGGAAAGCTATAGGAGGGGCATTAATAAAGGGAACATTAAAATAGTAATGTGACAGAGAATAGGTGAGTAAGCAGCTGACACAGGTCAGATCCATTTTGGTTAAATTTATAGGACATGTGAAATGTGTGAAGCAAGGAAAGATTTTGGTATGCAGCAAGTTTCTATCACCGGAAACTGAGTCATTCCAAGGAGGTGAATGGGAAATCACTGGATTATGTTGCTCTTTTTTGGGGTCTGAAGGATTGTGAATTAATTCAGTCTGAGGGATCCTTATACATGAAAGAGTTCTGAACCTAAACTTACCTCCAATGTAATTTGCTATTACCAATTAGGAAAAAATTATTTTCTCTCCTCTTATACTATTGAGGTCAGTTTAATAAAAGTCCAAGACCTTTTCTATTATATTTCATGTCTTCCTGAAGTGTTAATAACTTGCTGACAAGAAGTATAGAATGTGCAACCCATGGATAAGAAAAGATCTCAGAATTCATTTATTCTTTTTTTTTAAGATTTATTTTATTTATTTGAAAGGCAGTGTTAGAGAAAGGTAGACACACAGAGGAGAGGGAGAGGTCTTCCATCCACTGGTTCACTCCTCACATGGCCACAACAGCTGGAGCTGAGCTGGTCCAAAGCCAGGAGCCAGGGGCTTCTTCCAGATTTCCCGTGTGAGTGCAGGGGCCCAAGGGTTTGGGCCATCCTCTGTTGCTTTCCCAGCCACATTAGCAGGAAGCTGGGTCAGAAGTGGAGCAGCCAGAACTTGAACCCAGTGCCCATATGGGATGCCAGGGCTGCAGGCTGGGGCTTTAGTCCACTGCACCGCAGTGCCAGCCCCGCATTGACGAAGAAGGAATCTGTAGCTCTCTTGCTTTGTTAGTCTTAGCCTGGATAGATGGGCTTTGTTTTATGTTTCAATAGAAATAGGATCCTGTACTATTTGATTGAAAGCTTTGATTGGCTCATATGCAGCACTGTGTGACAGAAACACACACCACCTTGTTGCTCTCCTCATTCCTTCTCTCTGGTCATCTAGGCCAGTGTATATCATTGCTAAATACCTAGGGTAACTAATGAATTGCAGATTCTCCCCCTCTTCGTTTAATGAGAGTTCATCAGCATATCTGTCGGCATTTTGTGAGAGTACCAGCTCCATTAGGATTAAATGTGGGATGGACTTTGCTCCTGCCTACAGAGCTCTAGCTTCTTTCCCAGAGGACTCACTGAACACAGCCTGTCTTGAATAGCAAATGAACTCCCATGAGTTAGATTCTGTTAAAGTTACTCTGACCCCTCATACCCTGCACACAGGCCTTGAGGATTCTAAGCATTTAGTAATGACGTGACCAAAATGCCAGGATGTCTTTAATTGATTTGACTAGTCTTCATATTATACTTGTGATTAATGTCATTATTTAAACCTTTTGATGTAGACTGGCAGTAATTAATAAGCATAATGAATGGAATCCTTGCATCTCATATTTTGAGTAAATTGCATTGCCATTCACAGAGTGCCAAAAACTTAACTAATCATAACCAAAATTAATCATGTTTCTGCCCTCCCCTCTGCCCACAACCTAAAGTTAAAATCTTAACTTGGTGTAAAACATTTACACTTTCATATCCATCAGGATTAAAATTTGAGTAGTCGAGTGAAACTAATATTGCCTAATGACTTCTTTCTTGTTACCAGCATACCCTGGGATCATATTGGTGGGTAGCTGGCTCATTATATATTAAGGATTTCCCTGGAGCATGATGTACAACTCAGGGATATCAGACTGAAAGTTACCTGCTCCACGCTGGAGAACAAGACCATTTTTCCTAAGTCTTCCTGAACTCCGGGTGTCCTAATGTGGAAACTGACGTCATGAAATTCTTTTGAACCAAGCTCTATAAAACCAGAATCTGTGCTGTAGTACAAGCTACATATTGAAATCAGGTTTCTGTTTTTGATTCCTGTATGGTTGTTCCTCCATGTTTACATGATACATTAGGCTATAGTAACATTTTCCTGTGTTTCCCTTAGAAGATAAAGGGAAGTCCAAAGCCAGCAGTTCCAGTCAGCCATCGAGCTCTGAAAGTGGCTCCTTTCTCCTCAAATCTGGCACAGCAGCCCTGCCACCTGGAGCAGCCACTTCTCCCGCCAAGAGCACAAATGGAGCTCCTGGTCCTGTTGCTGAGTCAGAGGAAGAAAAAGCCAAAAAATTACTTTATTGTTCACTATGCAAAGTGGCTGTGAACTCTCTGTCACAGCTAGAGGCACACAACACAGGTGAGCAGCTCTCTTCTGAATTTAAATACTGTTTCTAGCAAAACCCAACTCTTCCCATTAGAATACCATGTCTTTTGCTGTTCAGACATTGGGTTTGTTCAATGTCTTCCCTATTTTTTTTAATTCAGAGGAGTAATTTTAGGAAAGTAGGATCATAATGACTTTGGTAATGCTCATGGTGAGGCAAAAGCAGGTTGGAGAGAAAACTTTTTCTAGCCTGGATTTCCTCAAAAGCATCTAAAATTCTGAAAACTCATTTGGGTGATGTGGCAGAGATATAGACAAATATGCATGCACAGTGTTCACTACAGCACAATTTTAAGAGAAAAAATATGGAGATAGCATAAAAGTTCATCATGGGAAATATTGAGCAAATTATAGCAACCCAATGTGATAGAACACATTACTCAGACATTAAAATATAATGGTAAGAAAATATGTACATGATCTGATATGTAACATTTTCAAGATACTTAGTGTGATCCCAGTTTTGAAGATATTGTTTAATATACCAAAGAAAGAACAGTAGTTACCTTGAAGAGAGAACAGTAGTTACCTTGGGTGGTAAGGTCATCTTTATTTTCTTAGGCTTCTGTATACTTTCCATATTTCCTTTATTATATGCTGTTACATCTTTCCATTTTTTATAATGAAAATCTGTTAAATTTATAATCCACATTAAGATGATCTTTTAGATAATTAGGATCTTCAGCTTGAAGACAGACTTCTCAAAGATGACAAAACAAAGAACTCCATATCGTTCTTAAGTAGCTATATAATGAGTATCTCTTCCTATCTCAGGATCTAAACACAAGACCATGGTTGAAGCTCGTAATGGGGCTGGTCCCATTAAGTCCTACCCTAGACCTGGATCAAGATTAAAGATGCAGAATGGCAGTAAGGGGTCAGGACTACAGAACAAGACATTTCATTGTGAAATCTGTGATGTCCATGTTAATTCAGAAATTCAACTCAAACAGGTACTGTATCCTGAATTAGTACTCATTATGTTGGGCTCCTGTTTATCTCCCATCTACAGAATGGTTGTCTCTGCTCAAGGTGAAGTTTACTAACCTTTATAGGATGCATAAAATATGCAACATATGACTGCTACATAAGAGAAAAGGCCGGGATGAACTATTTGAGCATCTGTTACACTATATGTCAGGTTACAGACTGGGGTTAGAGATGGAGGGGTGAGCACACCCATCACCTGGTGCTTCTGTGCAGCAGGAGCCTCTGGTAAGCTCATGCATCCAACCGCCCAAAAGCCAGTTTAGGAGACAGACTTGTCCATCATAGCATTAACTTCAGGCCAAACCTAATAAGGGCTACAGACAGGAGAGGGACTGGGGAGAGCCAGTCTTAGGGTGGTGATTTTACTCCTTTCCATGTTGGAGCTATGGACCACGAGTTGAGAATGGAGACCCAGCTGCCTCGAGAAAGTATGTCTTAGAGGAGCTCGACTAATACATCAAACTTCTTTCAGCACATTTCTAGCCGAAGGCATAAAGATCGAGTTGCTGGGAAACCACTGAAGCCGAAGTACAGCCCCTACAACAAGCTGCAGCGGAGCCCGAGCATTCTAGCAGTAAGTTTACATCACCTGCTCGCCTGTTTTGGGGCACAGCCTTAGAGAGTGGGGCAGCAGCTGAAGGGAAGGAGGGAGGGACAAATGGTGCCACAAGGTTTTGAATTTAAATAGCCCTGCCAAGATGCTTGCCTCCTGCTATTTGACATCTTGAAGAAAGCGCCCTTGGAAAAGAGAAAGGGAATGTCTTTCAGAGCTAAAAGCCTACTCTTGACCAAGACCTTCCCAGAAGACTCCCTTCTTTAACAAGTAAAGGGAAGGGAAGGCTCAGGAGCTAGGACCAGCAGTGCCTGAGGAATCCTGCACTGTGTGGAGCCTGGGAAGTGGGATTGCTTTTGTAAAAACGAAAATCCATCCACTGAAGGTCCTCCTGTTTTCTGGCACTTTTTTTTTTAAGTGCAAAAGTTTCTAGCCCACTTACACTCATTCCCAATGACAGAACTTTCGATTTAGCTGGGTTACTTCAAGGAGAATCATTCAGTGGCCAGCAAGAGTGGTGTCAATGGGCTTTGTTTTCTTTGCCTCTTCATGGGACTGTAAGATCCTGAGCCCCAGGTCCCTAACTTCAGCACAGCTTATCTGAGGGAAGGGAGGTGAATGGTCACACAGATTGTAACAGCAAACAGACACTCCCTGGTGGATGTCTGGGGAGGCCCTGGCCCTAAGCAAGCACCTCTAGGCATGTTTGTTTCCCAGAGTCTTCACTGTGCCCTGGCTGCCAGCAGCTAGGGCCACCAAATCCAAATCCGAGCTGGCAGGGCGACAAATCAAGGCAAAACTGTGCCTTGAGCCATTGCCACCGCCTTTGTGAAAACAGGCAGTTCTTGATTGTGAGAGTAAAGATTGTTCAAACGTCAGACTTTCAGTGTAGGGGTCTTACTCATGAACCTGTGTCGGCGGTGCTCACCCCATTCCTCATGTGCTCCCTCCATCAGGCAAAACTTGCATTCCAGAAAGACATGATGAAGCCTCTGGCCCCTGCCTTCCTGTCCTCGCCCCTGGCGGCGGCGGCCGCCGTGTCCTCTGCGCTGTCGCTCCCTCCCCGGCCGTCGGCCTCGCTCTTCCAGGCTCCAGCCATCCCGCCAGCCCTCCTGAGGCCGGGGCACGGGCCCATCCGCACCACCCCTGCCTCCATCCTCTTCGCTCCCTACTGACGCCCGCAAGTCCCGAGACAGCCGAGGCCAGTAGGGAAGTTGAGAAGGAAAGCCAAAAGGATTCGGCCGTTTAAGCATTTGGTGTTGCAGTAAGTACCCCCGGCCACCCCAAGCCCCAGCTCCAAAGAAGAACAGAGCACTAGATTCGAGAGTGTTTCTGTGGACCCTTCCTGCAACTTAGGAATCTGAGCAGCATAGTCTTTATCTGCCTATTCCTTGCCCCGACCCCATTCAATTTGTGTATCTGCGACATTTGGTTTCTTGAAAATGTATCAGTCAGAAAACAAGAAAATTCTGTGTTTTTCAATGGGGGGTGATCTGGCTTAGAAACGACGTGGAATCTTTTCCTGACAGACTTGAAAACTAGGAGCTTCCTCAAGTGTCTGTAAATATCTCTGGAATCCAAGCGGGCTAGTCTAGTGCAGAGGAAAAATCGATGCGCACGAGTGCTTCCTTGTGGGTACCATCTGACTGACGGATCACAACATTTGCTTTCTGGTGTACTGTTGTTGACAGGGATTGTGTACTGTTTTAGACCCAAGTACTGTTGTATCCTGTGTAGTACTAGCTCTGTATTTCTTGTCTGATTTCAACATTTTTTAGTTGCTGTGTAAATGTTAGGAAGCAAAGTAGCTTTGAATTTTCTCTTTAAGAGAACAAAAAGATATGTATTTTCTTTATTTCACATTTTATTTGGAGATATTTAAATGAAATAGAAAGCCATATAACATAGCTATAATTACTACCTATTTGCTATTTTTCTTTAACTTATTTTGTAGCTTCCTCACCAGTTTGAGTTGCTAAGCAAATGTATACAAACAGAAAAAGAGCTTCCTAATTGCACATTTTTGCACCTCTTGTGCATTCTGCAAGAAGACAATGAATCCATGTATTTCTATGTAATTATCTTCATTTTTAATCTGTTTTCATTTGTAATGATGCTACATAATTTTGTGGCTCCCTAATGCAATAATGTACAGGAGATAAAAACATTTATAATTGAACAATTTGTCTTTCTGTTCACTGAGTATGTTGCAGGTCATGCTCCCATGCCCCCCTTTCTAAGCTGATATCAACAAGACTGGAATGTTTGTGATATCAGGGGCAAGAGGTATCATAAATCAACAAAATAGAGTGAACTCTTTTAGAGCATCTTTATCTGCAATCTGTAAATGGTAAAATGTCTGTGTATTTTTTTAAATGTACCTTTTCAATAAAAGTACAAAAAATAAAAAATCTGTGTGCATTTTCAATGTGACTTTCTCCTGAAACACCTCCACTGTGAAGTCACCTGACAAAAGATTTTTAGTAGGAACAACATTGCTTTTTACATAGTCTACATTTTTCATTCTTACTTGAAGCGTATTTATTTGTCATGTTTATTAGTTGCTGTTTGCAGTTTCTGCATGAGGTGAAACTTCACTGCTGTTTTCTGAGTTTCTAAGAAGTTGGCCAAAGCTGCAAGATTGCCCAAAGTCATGGTGGCAGCCTGCTGTGAGTTTGTAGATATGATTTTTTTTTTTTAAATAGCTGCATGTCCTCTGAATCCCTAGCTCATCTTTTATTGGTGTCCATACTATTATGGTCTCTTTATTCTCCCCTTTCTCCTTTTCCAATCAGTCTTCCCTCTTTTCTCCCACTTCATTCTATGAATTTATCAACACATCACTGGTTGTTGCTGTTTTTCTTAGTGCTGTTTTTCTTAGTGACCTGCTGCTGCTTAACAAACAAACTACTCCAAAATCGTGTAGCATAAGATAATCATTCTGTTACGCCAGGAGTTCACAGCCGGAAATCCAAGCAGGGTTTGGCTGGGTGGTTTTGTTTTCCATGGCATCAGTAGAAATCTCTTGGTAGGGTTCAACTGGCGGATGGGCTTGGCTGGAGGGCCCAAGATGGCTGCCCTCACATCTGTCCAGGGGGAAATGGCTGGAAGGTTGAACTCTTCCAGAACAAGCCACCAGGGGGCCATGGGACCTCCCCTCTCAGGTAGGTAAGTGTACCAGAAAGAGCACTTTTAAGAGGCCCAGGGTAGAGAGAACAAGAAGTTTTTTTTTGTTTTTCGGTTTTTGTTTTGTTTTGTTCCTTTTTTTAATGAAATAGCCTCAAAACTACCTCACTTAGGCTGCATGCCATCCATCGGAAAGTCACCAAGGCCAATCTAGACTCAAGGGAAAGAAAATTAGATGTCACATCTCAATGTGAAGAACAGCAAAGATTTGCCACCTTTGTTAACCTACTGCAGCGTTAAAGAATTTTGAGGAGAGTGGGAACAAAACTATTACAAACCCTCTGTCTTCCCATGTTAAGCACAAACCATGTCAGTTTTTTAAATGAGAAAAATTGGTTTGGGGGTATGACTTAAATTTTTATTTCCAAAAAAGTAAGGCCACTAGATGGCAGTATAGCTGAGATGCATGGTGATAGACTTCTCCGACAAAGGGTTTATTCTACTGTTTGAAAATTGTTAACCTTAACACTTTAGGATTATTATCAGATTACTTTTAGAGGCTAGTAGGATTCCAGTGTGATAGTCTTAACTGGATAGTTTTTAAAAATATGACTCATTTGAACTCCAGACAATATTAGTTACACCTCATGGTTGTGGAATCCTCAGACGTGGTTTACAGATACTGTACTAGATTTGTGTTCAGTTTAACACTTTGGAGAGCTCTTTAGTTTTATTTTTATAGACTTCATGGGCAATTATATTTGACTTATCTTATATTAACTGACATCTCATAAAACCTTACAAAAATAAAATGTCAATATTTAAATAGGCCTGGGAATTTACAGATTAGATTTATAGAATTATAATTTCTAAAATCACTTAAGGGAGGGAATACAAAAGAGTAGCAGTGAATTAAAATGCATGCTACCAAAAGAAGCCGTGAGTAGCTTCAAGAAATGATTTGGAAAACATAATAAGACATATATCTTATCCATCCTGATTTTGAGGACAAGAGTCAACCCCTAGAGGGTGCACATGTTTAAACTAATTCCTGTTCCTGTGACATTTCTAATGGGTGAAGATTGCTACTCTACTCCAGTATTGTGAAATACAGGCTTCTTCCTCTGACGCAGTCCAGATCTAGTCTCTACAGAATCTAAAAACTGGCCTTTAGATAAGGCTGCTAGAGAAAAATATTAAATGCTCACTTAACTTTGAATTGCAAATATAACTGTAACTGTATAGGGAAATACCTGTTTTTATTTTTATTCTTGAGAGTGATACTGCCACAAAGTAGAAGTGTAATACTTGATTATTAAAAAGATTATAGATAATACTTGAGATATAGTAAAAGATTACAGCCACATTGCCAAGCTCTGCTCTGTGTGTAACTGTATGAGCTATGTTCTCACGTGACTGACTGCAGTGAGTGTGTTTACACCAGCTTCACCACAAATAATGTTGGTAGTGCATTGCCCTATGACCTTCTGATGACCACAGTGTCACCAGGCATAGGGATTTCTCAGCTCCATTAGAATCTTATGGAGCCGCCAGCACATTTTCTATCCATCATTAACCAAGATGTCATTATGCAGCTTAACGGAATTTCTTATTTATCTGAAATTCTTCATTAAATCTGGCAACCCTTTTCTCAAGAACTCTCTCCTCAGCTTGAGTACCATGAAGCTTCAGAATGGAAGTGACCTCTTGGGTATTTAAAACTAAGTCATAAGCCTTTCTAAAAAGTGCATTTGTGGGTCTGGCACCGTGGTGTAGCGCGTAAAGCTGCCCTCTGCAGTGCGGGCATCCCATATGGACGCCAGTTAGAGTCCCGGCTGCTCCACTTCCTGTCCAGCTCTCTTCTGTGGCCTGGGAAAGCACTGAAAGATGGCCCGGGTCCTTGGGCCCCTGCACCCATGTGAGAGACCCAGAAGAAGCTCCTGGCTCCTAGCTTTAGATCAGCACATCTCCAGCCGTTGCGGCCAATTGGGGAGTAAACCAGCAGATGGAAGACCTGTCTTTTTCTCTCTGTCTCTCTCTCTCTCCCTCCCTCCCTCCCTCCTTTCCTCCCTCCCTCCCTCCCTCCTCTGTCTCTCTCCCTCTCTCCCTCTCTCTCCCTCTTTCTTTCTGTAACTCTGCCTTTCAAATAAATTTTTTAAAAAAAAGGTACATTTGTGCAATACACTCAGAAATAGACAGAAGGGACTTGGGTTATGTAAAAATTCCATGATATATTGGTATTGGATAGACATAGGACAGGGGAAATATGGCTACAGATGCCTTCTACTTAAAACTACACCTATACCTGTGTAACAAAATTGAACTGTTGTAAAAGGAGAAAACAAAATTTTCATTTGCATTATGCACCAAACATACGACTTTTGATTTTGTCCTTTACATTAAAAGAACTGATTTTCAAGAGAAGAAATACATATGGGCATGTAGAATTCTTGTCTCCGAATGCATGTTAAAGAAAACTATAGAGTACTTAATGCCACTAAGAAACATTGGGAACAAAAACAAGGGGAGAGCTGATGGAGCATCAGACAGAAGTCCTGTTGTGCTAAAATCCCCAAAGGCACTTGGGTACCCTTTGAAAAATGGGTACCTCTCTTTGGGATTCCATCCCAAGTTAGTAGCTTAACTCATGAGGAGAGGAGAGGTGGCCAGGCATTTGATAGGCAAAGACTAAGTTGATGTCCAGACATACACCCCAGATTAGCACAGGTAATCCAGCTGTGTGGACTCTGGCATCGCTTCACAATGTTCCATCAGAACCTTCTTTTGTTAATATGGTGACCCCCAATACCAGAGGTAACATGGCCACTTTGGGAAAATCTCAGTGTCTGATTCCTTGGTGAGCTGAGGAGGAGATGTGAAAGCGAGAGCAGTTCCCCAGGGAATGCTAATCCATCCCTCCTTCCCTCCTTCCCTCCTTCCCTCCTTCCCTTCTTCCCTCCCTTTCTCCAGGTAATTAGCTTCATTGGGGGATTGATCAGGGCTATGGACCTGCAGGTTCTCAGCACCTCTGAAGTGAGGCTTAGGAATTGTCCTCATCTCTGTGGCTACAACAGCAAAGCCAGAGTAACAATAGAATGTATTCTTCACTCTTAGCTTTAGCTCAAAATGCATCAAACTTCTGCTTGTCCAACACAATTTCTTCTGTAAGTGCAGTGAAAATATCTTTATTTCTTCACTTGAAGGAGTCACTTATCTCTAAATGGTTGCCATAAAACTCCTATTTTTCATGTCATTTCTGCTATCCTGAAAAAGAAAAATTAGTATAGGAGAGACTTATATAGAATAAAACATAATTTGCTGTCAAAAAGCCTGAATTCAAATCCTGGTTATGCCTTGTACATGTTGGTTCTGTGATTTTGTCAGAAAAAAAAAAAAAGAAACCTGCTATTTTCTCATAGCCTTAGTATTTTCATATACATGGAAAACAGATATAACGATATTTAACTCAACAAGGAGATTTCAAGAAGCCAGTAAAATTAGACATGAACATTTTTTGTAATTTGTGGCATACCATCTAAATTTTCATAATAAGTGAATAAATAACACCAATAATTTTCTTTAAATTTCTAAATTTTAAGTAAGATTCTCCCAAATTAGCCAATTTTATGTCTTTTATGGTGACATAGACTCAGAGAAAATATGTCTATAATGGAGGAGAAATGGCAAATTCATTAATTTTATGTTCCTATTATCAATTACTTCAAACAGAAGTAACACCAAGATAATAGAGCCAATTTATCAAGTATAATTGAATTTTATACGTCTTGTATTCCATATAAGGAAATGCAGTATCAAGCCCCAAATTTATTATTTAAAAAATCACAGTTCCTGGCAATAGAAATAAGAGGTCTTTCTGTTGTGCAAAGCCTAAAAAATACTATACAGAGCATTTAAGCATACAAAATAAACAAAGCAAAATGTTTATTCCTTATTTCACTAAGCATAATGGTCTTCAGTTGCATCCATTTTGTTGTAAAAGACAAGTTTTTACTTTATTTATGTATATATACATATATGTATATAAATGCCACATTTTCTTTATCCAGTCATCAGTTTCCAGACCCAAAAACACAAAAATCATGTTTTCTCTGATTTGTGGCAGCTAATATAGAGAGTGCCAAAAAAAAAAAAAACCCACATGCATATGAGTGAAATTGACATCTTGTGATTTGATTATTGTCTATTCCCATGGAACAGTGGTCTTTCTGTCTCTTACTTGTTAACTCTTTATTTAGTGGACCGCTAAGCCTGTGATTTTAAAGTA